CCCTAAACCCCAAACCCCAACCCCCCCCCCCCCCAGGCCCGGGCAGCCAATGGCCCCGCACGCCCTCCGCGGGACGAGCCGGGCGAGGATGACGGGCTGAGCGCGAGCGACGAGGACGGAGATGCAGGGAACACATTTTTCGCCCCTGAACCTTTCAACCCTTCCTTGTTGCCGGAGATGCAGGGAACACTCTTGGCCTCTTAACCTTTGAAGCCTCCCTCAGGGTCGGGGTTCAAGGCCACTTTTGTTCGGGTTTTGGGCTTTGGGGTGTGGGGCCCAAGCATCAGAATCCGCGGGGCTACGGGCACAAACTGTTTCAGACCCTGGAGTCCCAGACCCCTTGAAGCCAATCGAAGCCCTCAGAAGCCTTGCAGGAGCCGGATGCAGGTGACGGTGGCAATTTGCAAAGGCCCCACGGCAGCCACGTAGGAAGGTGCAACGAAAGCCTTGCGAAAAAATCTTCTAGGACCGAGAGTGGGCCCGCATGCCCCTGTTTCTGGTAGTGCACGGTATATATGAACCCATGTATGGTTACTTGGGAAGCCAAGGTTCGTGGACAGACAGCTCGCCCCTTGGGTAGCCATTTGTGGTCCCCGGGTGGAAGTATGGGGCTTAAAGGGAGGATGGAATTGGCGAAACGCTCTTTGCTCGCGATGTATCCTCTGTCTATGGCAAGTACAGGGCTTCTAGGAGAAACAGCTGTCAGAAGCACTCTTGCGACTTTGCTGCAGACCTTTTCCATTGTGAGGAGCGGGAAGAAGAGCTCCAGCGTCCCACCGTGCGTCCTGTCTCAGAGACTTGGAGAGACAACCCTAAACCCTAAACCCCTAAACCCCTAAACCCTAAACCTAAACCCTAAACCTGTGGCTGAAGCAGCCGGGATGAGTACAGATACCAGCCGCAGCCACCAGGACACTTCAACTGCAGCAAGAGCCATGCGGCATCTCGTAGCCTGACACCTCTTCCTGTACGCATGTCCTGAGCGGTTCTCGGCAAGTATACGGAAGTAGGATCGCTGTAGAGTGCCTACCTGAAGGCTCCCATGTAGTTCCTTCTTGGGCTAGTTCTGGGGGATTCTGGTATACTGCCCCCCCAAAATGTGCTACTAGATAGGAGCCTTTGGGTAAAACCCATAGAGGGGATTTGATGCTTCCCGCTCTCCCTCCGACGCCAAGGAGTTCCATGCCCTAACACCGCACGGTCCTCCGAAGCCGGGGGGTGAAGGCGCGAGCGCAATGTAGAAGCCGAGTAAGGTCGAGAGAAGGGAGTTTAGAGTTTTGAAGTTTAGGGTTTTGAAGTTTAGGTTTAGGGATTAGGGACTAGAAGTATAGGGTGATGTGCGCTGATGAGGTCACGGGTCAAACATATGCGATGGAAAAGTTGCATCTGCAGGTGAACCTGTATCCTCTCATGGCTCCAAAAAACCTCGAGAACCCAAAACCTAAACACCCTAAACCCTAAACATCCTAAACCTAAAAGCCCTAAACCCTAAGCACGATCAGCCCTGGAGCATCCCGAAAACAATGAACCGTTGACGTTGTGAGCGTAAACTCGGGAGAGCCGTTGTGTTTAAGGAGTTTGGAGGTTCAGTTCTTGGGATGCTCCCCCTTATACGAACAGTCCTTAGTAGGGATTACAGTACCCCCTTATTCTAATTCCTATTCAGGGCGGTTAGTATATGGAGGGAACGTCCCAAGGTTCAGCTTAGTAGTCCAGCACATTATCGGAATGCTGCGTATTCCTGAGCGTCGTCCTAGCAGGACCCAGTTACAGTGGAAACTGGACCCTAAACCGAAAACCCTAAACCCTAAACCCTACACCGAAAACCCTAAACCCTAAACCCTAAACCCTAACCCTAAACCCTAAACCCTAAACCCTAGACAGCCCTAAACCCTGCAAGGGTCTTCATGAACACGAGGTGGCTCTGGCGCGTGGAACGGGCAGAACCCACAGTCTTCCCCGGGTGCTGGACAAGGCGCGAGATGGACATGCAAAGGGCTGAGGGCTGAGGGCTTAGGGTTTAGGGTTTAGGGTTTAAGGAGGCTTTAGCGTTTCGGGCTTTGGGTTTAGGGTTTTGGGGGGGGGGGGGGGTTAGGGCCTTTGACGGGATGATGCCTGGAGTCAAGTCGGACTGTTTGTCCCACGCCCCTCCCAACATACCCAGTCTAGCTGTGTCTTTCAATCTTGAGTCGCCTACGCCTGATTTGTTTCTATAGTTCCTGCCCTGAAACCTTGGTGTGTTCATGTGTTCAGCTGTGAAAGGTGCAGACCTTTTCGGTGCTTGGGGTTTAAGATTTTCGGGTTTGGGGCATTCACTCAAGTGTACTAGTAGGGTTTGGGGTTTGGGTTTAGGGCTTCAGGCTTTTAGGGTTTCAGGGTATGGGAGTCCAGTCTCCGCTCGGAGAGCGCCGGTTCACACAGAGCCTGGATGCAAAAAGGGTTTATAGGAGCAAAAGAGTTGCAGTGGTTTACCTGGACAGAAAGTTTGTCAAAGGCCTTTCCCAGCTGACTTCAAGAGTCTGGGTTCGAAAAACAAGGGGTTAGGGGTCTAGGGGTGTTTAGGGTTTCGGGTGTAGGGTTTAAAGGTCACGGCGTTCAATTCTGAATTGTGAAGATTCTTTGAGCTGGCACGCTCCTCATTTTGCGACTACCTCTTTGACTCATTGGTGACCATAGGCTCGGCATTTTAATTTTTTTGTAGCGGTGACCATGGTACTCCCCTTCAGTACATATGGGGGGTTACGATATTTATTAGGGGGGTACCTTATTAGGGGTCCTCATTATAAGGAGATCTTACTATTTGGGGACTAGATTAGGGGTCCCTTACTTTCGTAAACCCCCATATACCTCACCATGTGAAGTAACATGTCTTGCTTTTTCGGGCCTTTTGCCCTAGCCTAGCATCCCCAAACCGATTGCAACCCCAAACCCTCGATGGATTCTTGATCTTATTTCTCAAAAAGGTTCGACTGAGGGGTCTGAGGGTTTTGAGATTTAGGCTTTGGGGGTCTAGGTTTCGAGAGGTTTAAGGTAAAGAGTCAACACAGCATGGAAGCCTGCTGCCTAGGCCCAGCAGATCCCTGTGTGAAGGGTGCCGGCCCGGGCAGCCGCCCAGCAGCAAGCCGGGCGCGCGCGGTGTGCGGTTTCATGTTTGGGGTGCACCGTAGGACCCTTAGCCCCTACAGGCCCTAAGCCCCTACTACGCCCCGAAGCTGTAAGCCCTAAGTTTTAAATCCCTGAGCCCTAAGGACTATATAAGGTCTAAGGGTCTAAGCCAAAATCCCAGCGCAGTTTCCTCCAGGCAGGCGAGGTGCAGGGCTTGACAGGAGCCGAGTCCCTTTTCGTTAAGCAGGAAGGTCAGGGGTACCCTGGAACCTCTGTCCGGGCTTGACTTTTGGGTTGTCGGAATCCAAAGGGTTGGGGGAGTTCAAGGTGGCCTGCTGTGGAACCCTGTTAGGGGCCATTCGGCTCATTGCCTGTGAAAGCCCAGTGCCCTCACAAAGGCCGAAAGCTCAATAATCCCAGAGTCGATACTTGGAGGTTCATGGTAGTTACTAGCCACTTCTGACTGTACTTAAAAACCATATTGGGGCACTTAAGGGGCTTAACAGTGGGTTATAAGTACAGTTGTAATTGGTTAATAAGTACCATCAAGCTCCAAGCAGTCTTCCTCAAGCTGAGGTCAGCAAAGAGAGCAGGGGCAACATGGCGAGCACGATGAGACCAGTCAACAAGGCTGTGATCCTGCGGGATGCTTCAGGTCTTTGGCACCACCCCCCCCCCCCCTGTGGTACCCTGTTCCGTTTTTTGCTTCAAGGTCACGCATATTGTAAACCACCCCCCCCCCCCCCCAAAAAAAAAAAAAAAGGCCCTTATTACAATATGTTTACTGGGCTACCAAGAGGTAGGTCGTTGCAGGCGAATTCAGGCTTGGCACGGCTTCGTAGCTTACAGGCGCGTTTGGCTGGTGAGTTCGGATTTTTGGGTGGCCATTTTGGTGCTGTTTCGGGCTTAGGGTTTTTTGTGGTTGAGTCTTGAGGTGCCACCTGCCCCCTTCAATCCAAAGTCCACAAACCTTTGGGCTACTTCCTTCGAAACCTGACCCTCGACTCGACACTGCCAGGATTATTCCAGAAGATTCCACGCACCTGACACGAGAAGTTGCCAGAGTGTCGAACCTGGTCACGAAACCGCGGTCCCGAATCCCCCCGGAGGGAAAACTCCTGTAGCCCAGTTTCCCAACCAACAAAAAACCCAGAATGCCGCCAGGCCTCTCGGGTCCCAGAGTAAGGCTTGTGCCCGTGCAACCACGAAGCCTTTTGCAACATCCAACCTGAAACTTCACAACCCCCTCCACCAGCGGTGAGCAGCCTAATGCACTAAGGCCATAGTATACGCCACTGCACAAAAAGCCCCATATATCGCAGAAAGTTTATTTCGACCACAAAGAGTTCACTTTTCCTAAACATGCTGAACTCCAAGAAGGACTCGATAAAGCCTTAACATACACCCTAAATCCACCCCTAAACCCTAAATCTCCTCATTTTTCGTAAACATAGAGTGTGCGAAGGCCACGCCCGAAGCCACGGCCACGGTGGCGGCGGCGGTGGTGGTGGGCAGGCAGTATGTGGACTGGGGTGTTAGGGCTTGAAGCAAACAGGATGCAATCCCTAAGCAACTACACTTGGGATGAGGAAAACAGTAGGCAGGAAATTTCAGGGCTTAGGTTTTTAAAGGGTTTGGGTTCCGGTTCCTTTTGGGCTAAAGCCCCAGGGCGGCACCGGCGGCGCGGCCAGGGGCGCCGGCGCGGACAGCCAGGCCCCAGAGGGTGCCACAGCGCAAGGCTCAGGAGCGACTGGAGGCGGCGCCGGGCGGAAACTTTCCTTGCGTTCCCAGCTGTTTTCTGGGGTTTCTTTGGAATGAAATCTTACACAAGTTCTATGAGGGTCTAATTTCTATGCAAGATTTAATCGTCATCGGCACCCCAAGCCCATTCCCTGTTTTGAGTTTAGCAAGTGCGGGGGGTTAGGCGTTCATGTGCATGTGTGATGTAGAGGTTGGGCTCAGGCTACTGCATCTGAAGCACACCCGCAACTTTGAGATTGAAGATACACGTGCAGAAATTGATGTGTACATATAGATATATGCATGTGTATATTATATAAATATATACACATAGCATGCTGAATCCCGGGTTTCTCCACCTCAATCACAAGCGGGCAAAGCTTGTGAAGCTGGATTGCTTTTGCATGCAGGTGGTCGTGGCGGCCCAGGATCATCCGCGCACGGTGCTGAGCAGGCAGCGCCAGAGGGAGGAGGAGCCGGAGCCGGAGCGGACGAAGAAAGATGGGGCAGCTTTGGCAAAAGCAGGCCTGAGGCTGGAAAAACAACCGGAGCCGGGACAGCAACCGGAGCCGGAACAGCAACCGGAACAGCAGCCGGAGCCGGAGCCGGAACAGCAGGGAGTGGAGCCGGAACAGCACCGGAAACTTGGGAAAGCGGAGCTGGTGCTGGAGCCGGTGCTGGAGCCGGTGCTGGAGCCGGTGCCGGAGGTGGTGCCAGAGCTGGTGCCGGAGGTGGTACTACTGGAATCGGATCCGGATCCGGAGGTCAGGCTGTTGCTAGGTATTGGCCCATTGGAGTTTTTTTTTTTTAACGCTCCATGCTGTACATTGTTCTTTATTCTGGGACTTAATTATAAGGAGCATATCTTTTTAGAGGGCTTTACAGGAAGCCACCGAGGTTGGTGCAGGGCCCGGCGCCTTTGCCGGCCCGAGCACGCGGGCGCCCGGCCGTGACCTCCAGCGCCCGCGGGCTCCGAGGCGCAGCCTCAGCGCCCCGGCCGGCACGAGGTGGGCGGGATGAAGATGTAGGCCTAAACCGTATGCAGTTCTACAACCGCAAAGCAAACCCCTATCAAATCTAAGATTGCGTGCTCCGATGCAAAGCTTTCTCCTCCAAACCTCTAAGATGTAGTGCTCGGATGCAGCGTCTTTGCGGTTGAGGATTGTCCGTTGCAGTCTCCCTGACAGGCCTCAAAGTGTGGGAAACGTCCGCAAGGATTTCCAAGTGCTTGCAGACGAGGTTACCAGGCAGGCTGCTTGGCGGCAGTAGCTTCGGCGTCAAGATGTAAGCCGAGATGTAAGCCGCCTTGTTGCGAGATTCGCCCGGGCCGCGTGCAAAAATCCCGCTTTGAAGGGCGGTGTATGGTAGAGATTAACTGAGGAACCCCTGCACATGTGCAGCAACGTGTCAGCTTCTGTTTAACAGTAACGCGCACGCTGCCCAACCCTTCGCACTTGAGCATCTTTGCCCACGCCCTGGCCTCTTCCATACCCTCACTACTATGTGCTTCAGAAATCCCACAAGAATGTAATTAATAATCCCCATATTACCCTTATAAGGAAGAATATTTCCCCCACCTTCGGGGTGGGGTTGTTAGATTTTAAACTCAACTCTTCTCCTCGCCCGGAACTCTTCTCCTCGCCCGGTCTACTCCTAGAGACTCCCTGGAGTGCCCAACCCCAGAGTCTCCTGGAGTGCCCAACCCGACAAACTCCCAACTCCAGAGGTTCCCTGGAGTGCCCAATCCCAGAGACTCCTTGGGAGTGCCCAACCCCAGTTGCAAGCAAAAACTAGGAAAGCGTAGTTGAATCAATGTGTCTTTGTTTGAGCCTCTTATTTGCCTCCTTTCTTGTTCACGAGGATCAAGGTGGGGATGCTCGAAGTAAAACTTATTTCACACCCTCACTACTACTTGCTTAAGAACCCCCCACAAGAAGATAATTCACAATCCCCATAATGTTACCCTTCCAGCTCATCAGGAAGAATAGTTTTTTATGTTTCACAATCCCCATATTGCCCTTCCAGCTCATCAGGAAGAATAGTTTTTTTTTTTTTTTTTTTTTTTTATGTTTCGGGGCTCACCGTTCAGGTTCGCGCAAGCATGGCCAAGTCGATGATGGATCCATTCCCAAGCAACCTGACTGGACCGACTCTGGGACAGAAGCGCACGCAAGTTGATTGGGGATTGGGTTTAGGGTTTAATAGGGTTTAGGGTTTAATAGGGTTTAATGGGTTTAGGGTTTAGGGTTTAGTAATTTAGGGCTTAGTAATTAAGGGTTTAGGAGCCATTTTGCTACGAGGTCCAAATGGGCAGCCCAATTGAGTGCAAGTACCCGTGAGCTTCCATGGAGAGCAATCGCAGGAAACTAGCATCTTCCCTCGGATTCTCGCTCCGACTTTCTCGCAGGCTGAAGGAACAGCAGGTGGTGGATCATTTGGGTTCCGCCCTGTATGCTCTGACCGCTGAGTACTCTGTGCGAGATGATGCTGTTGCGCCTTTTCTGCTTCCCGGATCTTCTGAGATCAGACTGTACGATGCCATCATGGTTAGTGAGCAAAGGACGCTTCCACAATCCACACAAACCGAGGCCAACATCATCACGGAAGTTCAATGCCGAACTCTCATGGACGATGTAATGAGCCAGGTTAGAGTGCAGTTCGCGCAAGCTGAGGAAATGGCAAAACAGCAGGACGCTCTCATTCAGAAGCTGCAATCAGAGGTATACCACCTGGAGGAGGCCCTGCAATCAGACAAGTATTGCAATCCACCTCCTTCCTCGGTGCCAGACAAGCCAGTGGGATGGCATAGTGATCGTGCCGACACGTGCTGTTCCTTTTCTTCACGCGAGACTCTGCCCCTTGAGCTCCTCCGAGAACAGCACTATCAGAGAAGACGAGAGGCAAAATTACGGAGACGTGCTGAACGACAAGCTCAAGACGAGTGGCGAGATCGAGCCATGCAACCCGAAGATGATGCTGAGGGCCAAGACGCGTGATGCCGGCGAGACCTCCCAATTCAGTGTAGCCGCTGCTAGAACATGCATTTTCTCTTGTTGTTGTTTTTTCAGATACTTCCTTGCTTGCCTTGTTCAGAGAACAGGCCCTGCGAGTGCGAGCCAGGCGAAGTACGAAGCCTGTTGCAAAAGGGTTTTTACGTGTCAGAGCCCTTGGCAGTTTCGGATCTCAAGAGCATCTCCGGACCCTTGGGACAACCCACCCCCCTGACCCTAGCCTGAACCCCAGCCTAAAATGCCAAGCCTCTTAAACAGCATCTACAAAACCATGCAATGGCTCTTCCTTGTTTGAAGGGTTCCTTAAGTTGACCCTAACCCGCCCGTGCTAAGGAAAGAGGTTGTCGAAGTCTTGTGGCGCCCCGCGGCGGCAAGAACAATTGATTTCTGGAGCGGTGCTGGGATGGTTGCGTGCAGTGTGTTACGCATCTTTACCTGGGTTAAGCTAACTGTTTGTACCTCCACACATAACCTGTAGAAATCTACAAGTAACCGTTGTTCAGTAGGTTCCCGACCTTTCTTTGTAGCCCCAGGGCTGGTTAAGCAATCTCCTCTGCACACCCCCAAAACAAATTAGTGAAGGAATCATACTTTAGATGATGACGGAATATTTATAATGTGGGGAGGGGGGGGGGGGCAGGGTAATGTTGGGGGCGAGGATTGGGAACTCTTGTTCTTCAAAGGAGGAGGCTATATTCCGATGTCTGCAACGTCGTCTTTCGAATGTATTGGGTACTCACACCCTCTAACAGTACCCGCCTCCCAGACAACATGTAGGGTCTATTGAATGTTAAAGACTTGCGATGCAAGATGATGCAGTGCTATTTTGGGATAGTCTCCGCCAGTCGTCTCCGGCTGCAAAATTCACCCTTCGATTCCCAAGAAATATCTTCTGTTCCTTGATCTACCCTAGAGGCACCGTGTGGACTATTCGTTTTCTAGGCAACCTAGAGATACTTGGCTGCTTCTACCCTGACTCTGAGGACCAGAAGCTCACTCCATGGTCTTGTTGACTTGACAGGAACACATGGTACTCACAGAATAAGGGTTTAGGGTTTAGGGTTTAGGTACTATAAGAGCTTAAGGGGTGCCTTCCTTATGTTGAACTCTGGGTAACGCTTCAGGAGTGGGAAAGGTCCCCAAATCCTCGTGCGCGGAGCAGTGTAAGGTTTATCCCTTGATTCCGGAATGCATCTTACCATATGGGTTCCCTAAACCCTAAACGAGCTGCGGGGCACACCAGCTGCGTCAGGAATCTTCTACGAGAATGGAGGACCAGAGGATGCTTGGCTGCAGTTCCAGCACCGGGATAGAGCTCTTTGCAACCAAAGGAGGGAGCCTTCTCAGGTTATTTGGGGGCTATTTTGGGGCTACTTTGTATATAGGGGCTATTTTGCGGTATATATAGGGGTTATGTAGGGGAAGAAGATCCAGGGTCCCTAGTAGGGTCTTGTTTTCATGGGTTAGAGTGGGTAGGCCGGTTACACTCTTGGGAGGGAGTTGTGCGTCCATGGGCCGAGGTCAGTCTCAAACCTCTTGTTTAAAACAGGGATCCCCTAGTAGGTAGAACTATGTAGAACTCACAGCAGAACTGACTACCCGAAACTGCTCGATTCAAATATGGATGCGTCTTTGCTACTTATGCGGTCAAAAAAGCGTGGTAAGACTTGGATCATTCGGCCAATGCGGCGCATGAGGAAGTGCCGGTGTCAGGCCATGTTCTCGCTTCGGAATCACCTGACCACTTCCACAGAATCGTCACCAAGTAGAGGGGGAAGCAAAGGTAGGGGTCCTCCATGCCTGGAGCCCTCAGCACAACCCAAGATACACATTTAGCGGAGTCGGGAGGTCTCAGACTCAGCTCCCACAGCAATTGAAGCTTCTGAAGACAATTTCAGCAAGAACCGTGGCACGTCGACCCGCGCAGTTGCATTGGCTTGAGGTCGAGGGGTGCTTGCTTGATGTGGGGGAAAAAACAAAGCCACCGAAGTCCACAGAAGTCCGGGCATTGTGATGATGCTTTTGAAAAAATTTGCAAACCACCCCTAAACCCTAAACCCTAAACCCTATTTAAAAACCCTAAACACTAGACCCAGGCCCTGTACGGAAGCGGCATCTGGTCGGATCGCTCTTCTTGGGAGTACCTGGCTCGGGCCTGAGCGGCTTAACATGCTGACCCGGTTTAGGAGTTTAGGGTTTAGGATTTGTGCCTCGCGCCTGTGTGTCAGCATACTTACCCGGCAGACTTCAGAGGCCTGGATTTAGGATTTAGGGTTTAGGGTTTAGGGCTACAAGTTTCATAAGTACGTATAGGGTGTAGGGTTTGCAAAAGGGGTTTTAGGGTTTACAAGCGCTGGGCCACTAAATCCGGAGCCCTGACTCCAAAATTGGGGTTTCGGGTTTACATCAACCTCGCCTGCGAGGGTGAGAGTCGAAGCCCCCAGGCCGCGCGGGACTGTCCACGTCCGTGCAATCGTAAGGGTGCATACGCCCTACTCTATATCCCGCTTGGGAATGATTTTTTTGTTTGTATAAAACCCAAGAGGATGTTAAATATGTTGTGTTTTGTAGGGTTCTAAGAGGAGTATTGTACTGTCACTAGCTGAACTTTGTTTTGCATAATATACATCATATATGCACTCCTCAGTTTGTTTGTGGAGTCTGTCACGCATTTATGGGGGACTAGAGTCTTCCTTAGGAGCTTTGCTTGTTTGCATGTCTAATCTTTGGATGGTTCTACAGGGAGTATATGGCTTAGGAGTCTGGAGGCTTCGGGGCTTCAAAGTTTTTTTGATTTGTGGGGGGAGGGGGGGGGGGGGGCTGTAGGTCAGAGAAGTCGTGCAGTGGCGGGGTCCGAAGTTGAAGGTATTCAGCTTCTCAAGCTGCAAACACATTGAACTCGGGCCGAAGCCATAAAGTCCCAAAGTCCCCAACAAGGCCAAGACTGCCATAAGCCCAAAACCCCTACTTCTACAAACTCTGAGGGTGTCAGTGCTTCAGTGTACCTAAACCCTGAAAACCCTCAAGCCTAAAACCCTGAACCCTAAAACCCGAGACCCCTAAAACCCCAAGCCCTGGACCCTGAACCCTAAACCCTAAACCCTAGAACCCCAAGCCCTGAACCCTAAAACCTTAAACAGCTTCCAAGGTCCCCGTCGACGAGCTTTTCTACACGCACACAACCATCTCCTCGGTGCTCCCTGTCTAGAAGGGTAGTTTCAAGGGCGCGTAATGTGGTTCCTTGCCTCCCTTACAGGGTTCTGATGTATGGGCCCTTAATTTGTAAAGGGTATATACGGGGGGTAGCCCTCTTCCTTCTGTAAGGGTCCGGAATAGGCTTGTTGAGAGTTCTGGCGTGCACGTTCCACTTCAGTTGCCATGATGAGGGCAAGAATGAGGGTATTTTTTGCGCTAAGTACAGCTCATTGCATGGTTCCGAAATTAAATGGCACCTGATTAGAAGGGAAATTCTTATTTGGGAATCCTACTATTTGAAATTCTATTGTCGGTGTCCCGTATTTTCGTACAACCCACCATGTGGAACTTTGGGCTGCAAGGCAGCCGTGAGGTGTAAGTTTTTTTTTAGTGGCCTGGAGGAGACACACCACCCTTCCCTAAACATGCAGCAGGCATACGGGTTTAGGGTTTAGGGTGTAGGGGTTAGGGTTTAGGGTTTATTCTAAACGATGGTCCCTTTGGGGAGTCCTTCTTTAAGGGTGCCGTACTACATAGGGGACCTAAACGGGGACCCTAATTTGGAGAACTACCAACGCGTCGTTGACAGAGCGGTAGCTCAAAGTTGTGGCAAAGGCTTCAAGCAGCCGGACGGGCAGCTGTGTCCTCAACAAGTCGGACCTAAGATCTTAATCCGGGTTTCGGGTTTAGGTCTGATGGCTGAGCCTGGAGTCAAAAAAAGGTCTGATGATTGAGAGGGCTCGCCCCCCCCCCCCCCCCACCGAAACAGAATCTGGTGGATGGCAAGGGAAGGGTAACTGAAATCTCCGGTGTGGGTTTCGGCCTTAGGGCTTCCTAGTCGAATTTTGAACCCAAGCCTTCATTCCGATCCCTTACAAAAAGTCCCAAACGCACAACCCAGTAGGCAGCCTGAATTCCCAAGAGAATCACACATCTTGTGGCCTAGCCCATATAGAGGGAGTACGGGTGACCCTAAACTCTAAACCCGCGAAGCGCGAACCTTCAAGTTTAGAGGGCTTGAGTTGAGGTTCTCGCACGGCGAGAAGCGTGGTTTGCCCATTCGCTCCCTGTCTGTCGATTTGGACAGGGGCCGAGCGCCCTGGCAAGCGCTTGAGGCTCTTCGCAGCTGTTGGAGTGAGTATAGTGAATGGGGGCTTTCATGCATAAGCTTTCTCGGGCGAAGCGGCAACAGCCTCAAAATGCATTTTAAGGCAGTGGACCAGATGTGTGTAATCTCCTGTTGCCCAGGTCGACATGGAGCAAGATGAAAGACTGCGCATTGAGGTGGGTGGGGGGGGGGGTGCATGGATGCGCTAAATTCTCGGGTCCTCGGGTTCGCAACTTGTTTCGGTGTAAAAGACCCAGTTCCCTCCACCCGTTTAGGTGCAAAAGACCCAGTTCCCTCTGAAGTTTTCAAGAGGGGTTTCCGGACTGGCTCAAACTGAGAAGAAGGAAGCCTTTCCTAGGCGCTGTGAGACTTCCGACGTGGCGGGCGTAACCTCTCAAAATCACAGGCTCTTCATAAGATCCATTTCTGCACTTTAAGCAAGTGGCGGAGAGGGGGGGGGGGAGGTGCACCAAGTTTGAAAGTATAGACAACAAAACAATGGGACGGGTTTATGCAACGCCGGCACAAGCCGTTTGAAACTTACAAGAGCTCGGGGGGGCACCCTCACATGACAAGCCCAAAGCGCACTCACCACCCCATCCGGCCACCCCCACCCCCCTATTTCAAAGCGGGTGCGCTTGGGTGAGTCGCCAAAACCTGGCACACAAAGCACCGAGAAGTT